GGAGGCGCGGCCGCTGCCCCTCCTCTCCCGCGGGCCGGCCCACCCGGCGCCCGCCGCACGCCGCAGGGGACCGTGTCCGCTCAAGCCCGGGGGGCCCCAGCGCCGGCTCTGAGACCTGCCTTCCCCGCCGAGGGCTTTGCTTTGGCCCGTGGGCCCCGACCCTGCGACCCCAGTGCTAGGGCTCCCGATCTGGCGCCCCCACAAGCCCACCTGCCGCGGGGGAGGTTGCCCCCGGCCTGAGAGCGGCCATTCACCCCCCGCTCTCACCTCCCCGGGGTCCCTGCCCCAGGGAGGCGCCCCTGCCCGGATCTTACCGCCCGCCCCTTCTAGCGGGCTCTGCTGGCACCCATCCAACCTCAAGAGTCCTCTGGCCTCCCCGTCCTCCTGACTTTCCGCCCGCTCCCGCGAGGGCACTCTGCTTCTCAAGTGCCACCTCCCAAACTTCCTACCCGTTTGCGCCGGGTGTCCCTGCCCCAGACCGGAGGACGCCCCTATAACTATACCCTCTCCATCCTCCCCGGGTCGCTGCCCTTGATCTAGCGCCCTGTCCCTATCTTCCCACCTGCTCTCCTGGGGGGTCTGTTCTCACCGACGACGCCCCTCCAGACTCTGCTCCTCCGGGTCCCTCACCCTGTCTTCCCAGCAGTCCTCGGGACCCCTCTCGGGCCTCAAGTCCTCGCCCTCCATCCCCCGCCCCCATGGTCCCAGATCCAGGCCCTGCCAACAACAGCACCCTAGACTCGGGATCGGGGCCGCCGTCGGACCCGGAGGGGAGCGTCTGGGTGGCAGCCGCGCTGTGTGTGGTCATCACGCTGACGGCTGCGGCCAACTCGCTGCTCATCGCGCTCATCTGCACGCAGCCGGCGCTGCGCAACACGTCCAACTTCTTCCTGGTGTCTCTCTTCACCTCGGACCTGATGGTGGGGCTGGTGGTGATGCCGCCGGCCATGCTGAACGCGCTGTACGGGCGCTGGGTGCTGGCGCGCGACCTCTGCCTGCTCTGGGCCGCCTTCGACGTGATGTGCTGCAGCGCCTCCATCCTCAACCTCTGCCTCATCAGCCTGGACCGCTACCTGCTCATCCTCTCGCCGCTGCGCTACAGGCTGCGCATGACGCCCCCGCGCGCCCTGGCGCTGGTCCTGGGCGCCTGGAGCCTCGCCGCGCTCGCCTCCTTCCTGCCGCTGCTGCTGGGCTGGCACGAGCTGGGCCGCGCGCGGGCACCCGCCCCAGGCCAGTGCCGCCTGCTGGCCAGCTTGCCCTTCGTCCTCGTGGCGTCGGGCCTCACCTTCTTCCTGCCCTCGGGCGCCATCTGCTTCACCTACAGCAGGATCCTGCTGGCCGCCCGCAAGCAGGCCGTGCAGGTGGCCTCCCTCACCACCGGCACGGCGGGCCAGGCCTTGGAGACGCTGCAGGTACCCCGGGTGCGCAGGGAGACCTGGGCTTGTGGGATGGAGAGCAGTGAGCAGCCATTGGGTGCCTACTGGGCACCCATCACTTAATACATATACACTTTTTTTTTTTTTTGTGAGGAAGATCAGCCCTGAGCTAACATCCATGCCAATCCTCCTCTTTTTGCTGAGGAAGACTGGCCCTGAGCTAACATCCATGCCAATCCTCCTCTTTTTGCTGAGGAAGACTGGCCCTGAGCTAACATCTATTGCCAATCCTCCTCCTTTTTTTTTCCCCAAAGCCCCAGTAGATAGTTGTATGTCATAGCTGCACATCCTTCTAGTTGCTGTATGTGGGACGCCACCTCAGCAGGGCCGGAGAAGCGGTGCCTCTGTGCGCGCCCGGGGTCCAAACCCGGCCGCCAGTAGCGGGGCGCGTGCACTTAACCACTAAGCCACAGGGCCGGCCCAATACATATACACTTGCTGGCGACCTTCTAGTGGCCATTCCCAGCTCCCACATTTCTTCTAAATTGGACTCAATGCCCCACTGTCCATGAGACAGCCCCATCAGGTTGTGAGGCAGGCTTCTGGAAGGTAACAGCTGCAAGGGAATTCAGTGTCTCAACTCTCCCCACTTGCTCCTTCCTGATCTTCCCCCTCATGGCAAATGGCACCATCAGTGCATCACACACCAGAAACTTAGGAATAATTTTTCACCCTCATGCTCACCCGATTCATTAGCAGGACCTATTGGTGCTGCTTCCTAAACCCGTGCCCTCTCCAGTGCCACCTTCCTAACACAAGCCACCATCGTCTCTTACCTGGGAGCCTTCGATAGTCTCCTGCTGGCTCCCCCGGCTTCAACACCAGACCCTCTCCTAACCATTTTCTGCACAGGAGCCAGAGCAATTAAAAAAAAAAACTGATCCTGTCACTCCCCTGCTTCAAACCCTTCAGTGGCTCCCGGTTGCTGTCGAGATGAAGAGGAGACCCCTGTCGGGATCTGGCCTCAGGATGCCACCCTGCCAACCTCTCCAGCTCCACCTCCTCCCCCTCCCTCTCTTTGCACCAGCCCCGTGGCCCTTCTGGAGGTTCCCAGAAGGCACCAGACGGACTTCCATGCCAAGGTCTTTGCACTTGTGGTTCCCTCGGCCTGGAGTGCCCTTTCCCCTCGTCTCCGTATGGTCCTCCCTAACGTCCATCACTTTCTTCTTTGTTGTCCGCCCTAATGGATCAAGGGTAGCAACTGCCACACGTCCCCAGGTCCCTCCAGCCCTGATTTCCTGCGTTGTTCTCAGCATCACTTCCCACACCTGACACGTTATATACTTTCCCTTTTCTTTATTTTCTTTATTGCTGATTCCCTCCTATGGGAATGTAAGTTCAGGGAGGGCAGGAACTTCTCTCCCTCGTTACTGCTGTTTTCCCAGCACGTGAAACAGCCCTTGGTACCTCATAAGTGCTCAGTGCACATTGATGGAAGGAATGAAATGTATGCAGGGCTCCACGGAGCCTGGGATGCAACCCCGTTCACATGGCTTCCTTGCTCCCACTCCTTTCAGAGTCAGTTCTTGTACCTGATGGATCCTACGCTCTTTAGCACATTAATTCATTTGCTTGGTAACAAGCATTGAGTACCTACTTTGTGCAGGAGCTGTTCTAGCCTGTGGATGCGGTGATGAACAGGACAGAGAGGGTCCTGCCCTCCTGGAATCTATGTTCTCGTCGGGGAGATGGACATTGATCATGAAACCCTATCATGATGGGGGTTATGGAGCTTATAAGAGGGCTGCCTCACCCAGGGAACATTCAAAATCTATTTGCTGTGCATGTGTTTGCAAACTGAAGCAAAGAAGTCACAAGGAGCCCTAAAACCAAATGCTGGGGGGAGTCTTCCTGGGTCATTTAGGCCGGCACCCTACCTCCCAGGCAGAATGACCCGCGGGCCTCTCAAGCCAGAAACATGTTTATGTTAATACCTCCCACTTTCTGGAAAGCCTTTCCCTTGGTTTGAATGTGGGATGTCAGACCCCGCCACTGCCCTTGCTTCCAAACCACTCAGCTCCTAGGCAAGCCTTCCGTGAGCCCATTTTTCTAATTGCCTGGAAAACTGCCTGCATTTTGGGAATTTGCTTCTAGGATGCTGCCTCCACTCTGGCCTCCTGGGTCATGACCCATTTCCCCAACCTGAGCTGGCCTGCCCTGGAAACCGGGCTTCCAGCCTAGGGGTGGAGGCTCTCTCAGTGACGGGACCTAAAGGAACTGATGAGAATGAACAAAACTTGGGGTGTGTTAGACCTTTTTCCTCCCGTTCCCAGCCCCACTTAGCCCTTAGCTCCCTTCCCCAGTCCAGACTCAGCTTTCCCGTAGAGGGAAGGGAGCTGGGCACAGCTCCCCTGGGGTTGAGAACATGCGAGCTGAGCAGCCTTGGGAATTTTCCTTGTCCCCCTATCCGCCATGTCTGCCTATTTATGTGAATGGGCTTTTGAAAAGCCACCAGTTGGCTCAGTGATTTCAGCCAGACCTTTCTGGCCCCAGGGGCTGTGAGAAAGGGGCCATGCTTGGAGCTGAGGGCTGGGGATGGAGAGAGGGGCATGGGGGTAGTGGTGTCAGAGTGAGATGCTGCGAGGGCAGGAGTGTGTGTGTGTGTGAAAGGTGGGTACGTGCGTGGGGATGGTGCTCATCCTTGGGAAAGTCCAGTATGGGAGCTCAGCCCGACGGAGGGCAGCAGCAGGAGACCAGGCTGGAGGTTTCTGCCTACCCAGCCTCTTTCTCTCTCTGCCAGGACTCCTGTGTCTCTGTGGTCCATAGCTCTCTCCCCATTGTCTTCCTCTGTACCTCATCTTTCTCCCTTTCTCCCACCCCTCTGTCCTGCAGGTCCATCTCTCCCCATTCTCTTCCTTCCTTCTGCTTCCCCCTATCTTTCTCCCCCTTCTTTCCCATCAGTTTCTCCTCCTTCCCTCCTCCCCACCCTCTCTCACCCAACTATGCATCATTCTGTCGATGATCCATCTTCCCTTCCGTCTCTGCTTCCTCCTCCTCAGAGGAGGCTGTGATCACAGAAATATCTCGGAGCTGGAGGAGGGGCTGAACTGGGGAGAGCGTGTCAGAGGATCAGTGCTGAGCACGGCAGGCTTGGCTGCTGCTCTGAACGAGGCGGCCTGGTGCAGCCAGGGCTGGGCGTGGGAGCTCGTGTGTCCGGCTGGTCATGGGTTCAAATTCTGCCTCCTTTCCATCACAGCCGGATGACTCTGGACAAGTCATTTCACCTCCCCGTACCCCAGGGGTAATGCTATTTATCACATGAGGGTGTTTGAAGAATCAATGAGATACTATATGTAGACCTGGCGCTCAACATATGTTAGTTCCTCTTCTTTCCTCTTGGTGCTAAAATATATGGTTCTAGGAAGCTCACTCCTTTGAGCCTTTCTAGGGGGAAAAAACCACCATTGCTGTCACCAGCAGTGTCACCACCATTATCAAAGAGCTAAGTTGGACACTCATAACAATAAGCAGCAACAACAACAACAACGATAGCTAACACTATGTTGCTTAGTATGCACCAGGCACTGTTTGAGTAACTTTCTGTATATTATCTTATTTAATCCTTACTACAATCCTACAAGATAGATACCATTATGACTGTCATTTTACAGATGACAAAGCTGAGGCACAGGGAGGCGAAGTTCCTCGCTTAAGGTCACTCAGCTCGTTAGTAACAGAGCCACGATTTGAAGCCAGGCCGCCTGGCTCCACAGTCTGCCCTGTAACCCTCACACAATGATTGGATGATCATAGACGTTTTAAATCACACAAGGGAATACATAAGCACACTTTATAATAAAAATTCAACAACAGATGGCTGGCCCCGTGGCTTAGCGGTTAAGTGCGTGCGCTCCGCTGCTGGCGGCCCGGGTTCAGATCCCGGGCGCGCACTGACGCACCGCTTCTCCGGCCATGCTGAGGCCGCGTCCCACATACAGCAACTAGAAGGATGTGCAGCTATGACATACAACTATCTACTGGGGCTTTTGGGGAAAAAAAAATTCAACAACAGAGATAAAGTAAAAGACCCCTCCAACCTCCGTCCAATCATCTTCCACTCCAAGGGACACTCTCATCATTTAGGATATGTCTTTCTGGTCCTTTCTATGGGGTTACATATTTGTTTACATACCCAAAGAAACTAAGTATTTGGTGTACTTTTTTAAACAAACGGAATCTTGCGGTATCTATAGTTTTGCAATGTGCCATTATCACTTATTAATACGTCTTGCAGATCTTTCCATCTGATTCATTCTTTTAAGCATCTGTGTGGTGTTCTATAGTGGGGATGTACTGTGGTTTATTCAGTCATTCTCCTTTTGATGGACATTTAGACCATTTCCGATTTTTCCCTGTCATGAATAGTGCTGTGGTGCACATTCTTGTACACGCTGGGTGTTTACAGACACAGGAACCTGTAAGTGGAATTGCCTCCTGGAAGGGCGCTGCCAATTTGTCCTCCAGGCAGCTGTCCTCTGACAGTGACACATGCCATGGACATGTATAAGGGACATGCAAACAACAGAACGTGGCCGTGAGGGGCCATGGGGTGGCCACAGGGCAGAGGGAAGTGGCGAGGGTGAGGCTGGCCTCAGCCAGACCTCAGGGCATGGCTGGTGCTTGCCATTGGCTTCTGCCCCATGAGGGCCTCTCAGTCATGGTGGTGGGGTTTCTGGAACCCAACCCTTACTGTGGCCTGAGGATTCCACCCCCAAAAATGGAAGCAGCATGGCGAAGTGGAAAAAGTGCAGTTTCTGGAGCCAGAAATGACTTTGAATCCCTGACTCAACACTTACCTGCTGTGTGACTCCTGGCAAGTCATTTTGCCTCTCTGAACCTCATCAGCAAAAAGGGTGTAATAATACCTGCCTTCCATAAAGATTGAATGACAGAATGAATATCAAATGCTGATGCACAGAAGTGCTCAATAAATGGGAATGATGGTGCTGATTTGGGGTCAGTTGAGGTGTTTGGTTTGAGGCCTTGTACTGGCTCAATGTGATCTGGAGAAGGTCCCCTATCCTCTCGGAGCCTCAGTTTCCTTCTCTCTTCTCTCTTGCCTGTGTTCTTGGGTCAACTCTCTGGCAAGAAGAGGAGAAAGGAAAACACAGGGTTCTTCCTGGGAAGACTAAAGAAGGAAATTCAGGTCATCTTTATCTCCTTCTCTGGAGCCCCCTCCCTGATGATTGCCCTCAAGATATCTCCCCAAGTGTCTCAGTTCCCCAGCGCCCCAGAGCTCTCACAAGGTCAGGGCTTCTCCTGTCACCAGGGGTCAGAGGGGTTCCTGTATGAGTGGGCCTGCTAGAGACAATGGCTCCCCTCCCCTGTTGTCTATCCCTGTGGACGGCAGCAATTCGAAGGCATGGCAGATCTTAGGAGATTCTTTTGGGGAAGTAGGAGCCTCTTCCTCCAGGCTGACCATAGTGGGGCCGTAGAGTCCACTCTGGAGGAGAGAAAATTAGAAGAGGAAAGAGAGAAGCAGATCCTCCTCTCCTCCCTTGCTACAGTGTGGTGAGTCAGAGCATTTGTCCTGACATCTGTGCTACTTTGACTGAGCCCGAGCTGCTTGCAGAAGGACCGGGCTCCGAAGGATGCTAACATTTCCCTAACCTCATACACATACCACTGGGCCAACATCAGGGATACATGTATTGTGCACTTACTCTATGTGGGGCACTGTGCATGCATTTAGTATCCACAGCCTCACGGCAACTCCATAAGCTGAGTGTTGTTTCTCCCATTTTACAGATGTGGAAACAGAGACTCTCTCAAGATCAGAGTGAGTAAGTGGTAGGGGCATGATCACTTGTCTTAAAAGCCCAGCTCTTGCCTCTGCACAATGCTGCCCCAAGACAAAGGGGAGAAATCAAGGGACTCTGGCTGCTCTTTGTGAATTTGTCCTTGATATTCGTCTAACCAGCTTTCACCTGGATAAACACATTGAGAGGTGGGAGTTACAGTGTGCTTTGTCTCCCCCTTCCTGCCCACTGCCATTCCAGAATCAGGACCCCTGACCTATAGAAAGATGGCATGAAGCTGGGGTTTCAGCACCATGGACAGGACACAAAGACTGGCTACCCTGCGGAGGTGGGGAGAGAGGAGCGGACTGCAAGGGGAGCTCCTGCCCATGAGAGCTGGGTGGAGGTTTGGCTTTGTGCTCTGTGGGGCTGACACATCTTCTTGGCTTTGCCTCCTCCGCCCCCTTTCCATCTGCGGAGGTTGCTTGGGAATCTGGTTCCCTTCCTGCCTCCTCCTGACTCTTTCATCTCCCCATACCCAACCCCCCACTGGCTGCCTCAGGAACTAAGCTGGACTCGCACGCAGTTTAGGAGATGTTGGCAGCATCCTTGGTTTTCAAAGCCCAGGCGTGTTCCCAGGCCGCACACACACCTTCACATAGTTCAATGAATTGTGCACACCTCTGCACACTGATATTTACTTAAGTTGTAAGCGTAGGTGGGGCTCACTTTGTGTAAATTGAATGTATGAAAATCCAAATTGACTATAACACGTGGTTTAGAGGAGGGCTTCACGTCTCAGCTTTCACGGACCTCTAGGGGCTTCATGGATGGACCTCAGGGTGATCTCGGAACCCCCCGGAAGTGTGGGAATTTTTTTTCTTCTACGTATATGTGTGTGTGTGTAAAAATTTATAAGCTTTTTGTTTTCTGGGGAGAGGTTTGTACATTTCATTAGATTCACAAGGGGCTCATGACGTTGAAAAAGTTAAGAGAACCACTGGGCTAAAGGATCATCTGGTTCAGAGAACCTTTTAATGTTTTGGGACTGCCGGTCACCAACTTGTAAAGCCAAAGTCTCACCTCCTCATGCCCATGTCCCCCTTCCCATGGCTCCGTGGAGCAACTTCCACATCTTCCTTGTCTCCCCCGCTCCTGCTCTGGAAGTTCACATTTGGGAATGGGGGGTGTCTGCTAGTCCACAGTGTAATTTGAGTTGTAAGATGCAAAGGTCACTAGTACCCCTGGTAATTTATAATAGATTTCATTGCAAACATTTGCTCTCTGCACATGTTTTCAAAAAAGCACTTTATTTTGTGGAGCATGAGGGTAATGGCACAGGCAAAACCATTACTCCAAAATACGAAGAGAATCCATATACACAGAGATTGCCAAGCTCTGGACGGCAACAGGGCCTCTTTTGTCAAGCACTGTTCAACTGCAAGTAATTCTTGTAGCTCCAAAAGCTTTGGGAGGTGCCGGGGCCCATGGTCATGTGTGTCGGCCGTGTTGAGGGCTGTCCTTGGCAGGAGGGTAGGTCTTCTGAACTGTTTGATTTGTGTTGCTCTGTCTCGCTGCACTTCCTAGAGCCCCTTGTGAAGTGTTGGGTTAGGGTCAGGGCTCAGTGCAGGACCAGGATCAGGGCTCAGTCTATTTCTGGGTCAGGGCTCAGTCTGGGGCTAAGGTTGGGCTCAGTCTGGTCCAGGGTTGAGGCTCAGTTTGAGACCCTGGTTACACAGAGCTCAATTTATGGTAGGGATCAGGGCTCAGTCTGGGACCATGAGCAGGGCTTGGTTTACTGCTGATGTCAGGGCTTGGTCTGGAGCCAGGGTCGAGGTTCAGTCTGGAGTCAGAGTCAGGCCTCAGTCTGGGACTACAGTTGGGGCTCAGCCAAGGATCAGGGCTCAGTTTATTGCTGGTACTAGGGCTCAGTCTAGAATTAGGATCAAGGCTCAGTGTGTGGCCAGGATCAGGGTCAGACTGGGGCTCTTTCTCACCTGACTCATGTGACCCTCCTTTCTGCAGGTACCCAGGACCCCACGCCCAGGGGCGGAGTCGGCTGACAGCAGGCGTCTGGCCACCAAGCACAGCAGGAAGGCCTTGAAGGCCAGCTTAACTCTGGGCATCCTGCTGGGCATGTTCTTTGTGACTTGGCTGCCCTTCTTTGTGGCCAACATAGTCCAGGTAATGCCACCGTAGGGGGCAGGGGAGTCCAGGCCTTGCTGGGGAGGCCCCGAACCCCACCCCAGCTCCAACACGGAGCGAGATGCAGGGAGGGAGATGCGGGGAGGGAGGAGGTCGGGCTGCCTCTCGTGGTGGATGAGTTTGTGTGTGTCTGTCCCATCCATGCTGGGTGGGGTGGTCTGCGTCCCTGCTCCGGACCAGGCGTGACACACCCCATCCCTCCAGGCTGTGTGCAGCTGCATCTCCCCAGGCCTCTTCGACGTCCTCACGTGGCTGGGATACTGTAACAGCACCATGAACCCCATCATCTACCCACTCTTCATGCGGGACTTCAAGCGGGCCCTGGGCCGGTTCCTGCCGTGTCCCCGCTGCCCCCGGGAGCACCAGGCCAGCCTTGCCTCCCCCTCCATGCGAACCTCTCACAGTGGCCCCCGGCCAGGCCTGAGCCTGCAGCATGTTCTACCACTGCCCCTGCCCCCGGGCTCGGACTCTGACTCGGGCTCGGGGTGCTCCTCAGGCCTGCAGCTCAGGGCCCAGCTGCTGCTGCCTGGAGAGGCCGCCCGGGACCCCCTGCCACCTGCCAGGGCCACTGCCACGGTCAGCTTCTTCAACATGGATCCTGTGGAGCCCGAGCTGCGGCTGCGTCCGCTTGGTACCCCCACTAACTGATCCAGGCTTGGAGCTGGTCGGCGGGGAGTTGGACTGGATGGAACCAAGTCCCTGAGGCCTTGGACCAGCTCTTGGCTAGGCCAGGAGGCTGCAGGTCTCCTGGGAGCCCTCTGAGCTCCAGTGGGGTGCACTGAACCAGCCCCCACTGCTCACTCCAGGTCCCGTACGTAGAGGGGCTGGCTCAGAAACGGTTTTCTCCAGGATGCTCCATTGCCGAGTGCAACTTGTGGGTGTGTGAGGAGGATGGTTGGAGGACTCTGGGAGTGGTGAAAAGGACCTCTTGGTGCAGATTAGGATGAAGACAGTCATCTCCTTTGCACAGTCTATCAGACTGCGGGGGAGGAACGCCTCTGTCTGCACAGATGGATTCGTGCAGGGCTGACTCCCTCGCTCCTCCAAGTGCAGTTCACAGGCCATCAGCATCAGCATCCCTGGGAGTTTGTGCACACCTCTGCCCCACCCCAGGCCTGCCGAGTCAGAATCTGTGTGTTAGCAAGATCCCCAGGTGACTGGCGTGCACATTATAGTTGAGATGTGCTGGCTTGGAGGACCTTTAACCCTGAGGATGATTTGCTGGAGTCTGTGGACCGGCCAGCCCCTCGGGATGTATGTGGCTGTGCAGAAACACACCTGAGCCTGGGAGTCAGGCAGGCAAATTTGAGTCTCTGCTCCCCTACTTCCTGGCCCTTGCACAGGTTACTTAACCTCTCTGAGCCCGGTATTCCACACAAAAAATGGGGTAACGATGCCTGCCTTGTTGTGTCATGAGAAAGAGGACAGCGTGTGGAAGGCTCAGCACCTGGCAGGTGGCCAGTAGGTGGTACCTGCTCTTGTTGTAACTCCGGGCCATCCAGCCCCCTGGCCTATGGCCGCAGGCCAGGAAGGGCTCTTTGTTCCCACTGCCTTTTCCATCTTCCTCCTCCTCTCCAGCCCCGGCCGAGACTCCCATCACCTGACCCTGGCTCCCCCACTCCTTGCTTTAATATGGGGCGGCCCCATCCCAGCTCCGGGGCTGCTGCATTGCCTCTCCCAGGGGCAAGGGGGCTGCTGGTGGTTTCCTGCTCAACATCTGGGACGAGCATTCCTCTACCCTGGCTTCCCTGGATCTAGAAGGGAACCAGCTGATGGGGTCAGAACCAGCCCTCTGCCCCACTTCCCCTAGCCTTCCCTGGGTCAGTGAGGGAAACGGGAGTGGTGGCCACTTGGGTCAGAAGAGTTGAAGAGGAGCTGTCCTGGCGTGGGGTGGTGCCTTTGGGCAGGCAGGCAAACCCTGGCACAGGGGCCTGGGTTTTTTGAGGGGAGACTCTTGGAGTTTACTTGCTTTAGGTTCCTTTCCAGTCTGAGGTTTTTCCTACCCGCCACCCTGCCACGTTCCATCAACCCAGACTCCAGGGGGCCCTCCACTGCAGCCTGGCGCTCTCCTTGGTGCTGATCAGACGCAACCCCGGCCCTGGCCACTGGCTGCAGAGGGGCCATGGTGCTCGCTGGGCCTTTTCCTCTGTCCCCAGGCCTGCCTGACTGGACTCTCAATACACGGCTGAAGGCAGTGACTGGTGTGGACTGGATTCACTGGAGGGGCCACTCGGGCTGAGGAAGCGGCTGGGGAAGTGGGAAGAGACCCTGGACACAGGGGTCCTGAGTTCTGGTCCAGACTCTGCCCCTAATTTGCTTTGGGACCTCAGCAAAGTCATCTCCCCTCCCGGGGCCTCCGTTTCCCATGGGTGACGTAAGCTGTCTAGACTCATAGCCACGGGAGTTCCGCAAATCTTCGTTGATTGAACAAATACATATACCCCCGAGGACCGGCTCAGCTCCAACATTCCAATTCCTCCTGCCTCCCCCTCCCTGCTGCCTCCTCCAGAGCTTGTCAGTACTTTCTCCGCCTGGGCCTTGATCTCCCCATCTGCACAATGGGGAGAATTACCTCCGGCCCCGTCACTCAGGGACAGCGGGAGGAACAAAGGAGAAGGTTCCCATGGACGCAGACACAGCGGTTAAGAGCTGGGGCTCTGGAGGCAACTGACTGGAGTTTGAGACTGACCATCTGTGTGACCTTGAGCAGGTTACTCAACCTCTCTGGGCCTCAATATCTACAAGCGTAAAATGAAGATGATAATAGTACCCACCTCACAGGGTTGTTGTGAGGGTCCGCTGAGACACTCCACGTAAGCACTCTGTACGTGGTAAATACTCAATAAGTGGCAGCGATTGTTATTCTTTATTATTATAATCATCATCAGCTCTGTTCCTGCTACAGGAAATCCTTCCTCTGTATAATTCATTCCTATCACCAGGCCCAGTTCTCACCCACAGTGCATGCTGATGCAGCATTTATGCACCATGCTCTGTTATAATTATATCCAGGGCCGCCACGTAGCACAACTTCAGGGGGTGCCTTTCACAGTACGTCTATGTGATTGATGCCCCTACAGTTGTGCAGTGCGCAGCCTGCATGGCTGTATGTGGCAGATCAGATTGGATCTCCCTAGGGTGGAGAGAGTAAGCTGTCCGCTCCCCACCTGCGCCTGCTCCGTAGCAGTGCCTGTGGGCTGGCGGGCAGCCCTGGAGGGGACGGAAGAGCGGGGGGAGAGTGGCGGTGGAGCCTCAGGCCCCAGAGAGCTCCCGGACCTCCTGATGGACAGCCCGATCCCACACTGTGACCTGGAGTACAGGAGCCCACGCCTGCTGGAGTCCTGGGGCTCTAACTGGGCTGGTCGGCTTTGCAGGGCACCGGCCTTTCTTCCCCGGGGAGGGAACCCTGTGTCCCTGCAATTCCCCCTCCTTTCAATCCCAATGCCTTCAGCTTAGGAAAGGCACCGGCGGCAATTCCTCAGAGCTCCTGCGGGAAGCTGACGGAGGGGGTCGGAGAACGCCGCACACAGCAATCTGGGAAGACGGCTCGAGTGCCCTTGTGGGGTCAGTCCAGCCCGGGGCAGGGCCCCTGGGTCTCGCTGGCACAGTCGGGGCAGCCCAGTGGGTTGGGGCCCACACCATGGCTGCAGGCCGGGGGGCTCTCAGTGGGGCTGGCAGCAGCAGCAAGGGAGGCCCCTTCAGATTGGTCCAGCCCTGTTGGCACCTGGGTGTGGCTGGGGTCAGCGGCTGTGGCCACTTTGGGGGTGTCTCCGGGAGCAGGACCCCGGGTCTGCCCATCCTGGGGGGTGGTCTTGTCTGAGGTGGTGGTGGCTGCTGCCTGGCGAGGCTCCTCTTGGGGGAGGCTGCCTGGGGCCAGCGAGAGCCCCTTTTCGTCCCAGCCTGGCTTGGTGCGGATGCCCACAGCCTTCAGGATGACGTCCATCTGCTTGGCGTAGTCCAAGTGGCCGCTGACCTGCAGGTGGACAGGGAGTGAGGCCACAGTGGGTGGGCAGGGCCTGGCCCTCCCCAGGGCCCCAAGCCAAGCTCCTGGGCCTCGCCCTCTCCCAACAAGCACCAACGCCATGGCTGAAGCTCTCAGTGACCCTGAAATCCAGGGTGGGGTGGGCAGCTGCTAGGTCAAGGCTGCTCTAGAATTCATTAAACAAAGAGGAAGGGAGTTTCTCTACAAAATCCGGGTCCTCTGGGGGCAGGAAGGCATCTCCCGACAGACAGAAAGTTGGAGTGGAGTTCTCATTCTCTGCCTGAGCTTCAGGTTATAGCGGAAGGGCTCTGCTGCTCACCAGCTCTGGGACTCGGCAAGCCCCTTATCCCTCTGACCTCCACTTGCCTCACTGTAAAGTGGGGACGATAAGAGGAGCTACATCAGAGGGTTGCCCTGAGGATTCCCTCGTGAAAAGCTCCCGGACTGAAAATAGACTCATGGCACAGACTGCAAGGTACCTTCTACAATTCACTCTTCCTCTTTTCTCTCAGTCTTAAGAACTCCAGTTTACAGCTGGGTAGATTCCCAGCCTCCCTTGCAGCTAAGTGTAGCACTGTGACAAGTTCTGGCCAATGAGATGAAGCAGTAGTGTTCTGTGTTGCTCCTTAGAAGTCTCTTTAAAAGAGGGAGTGCTCTTCTTTTCCCCCTAGTTCCTCTTTCCTGCTGGCTGGAATTCAGACATGATGGCCAGAGCTTCAGCAGCCATCTTGGGCCATGAGCTGGCTCACTAAGAATGGCAGAGCAGCAAGACAGAGGGGATTTTGACCCCTGAAGACTGTGGAGCCACCATACCAGCCCTGAACGGCTTATTCTGGACTCTTCTTAATGACAGCATCAACTCGTGTGTTTAAGCCATTTCAGCTGGGCCTCTGTTATACGGACCTGAATCTTCACTAAGACAAGGGCCAAGAACTCAGAAGTGCCCACTCCCATCCTCAGAGAATAGAGACACCCCCATTTTTGTGCTGGGATGTGTCAGTGAGTAAAGAGTACGGGTGCGACTGAATGCCCGATGCGTAACTGTAATAACGGACAGTGCCCGACAGAGCACCCTTAATACAGCATAGAAAATGAACTTATTGGATGTCCTCCTTTGACAGTGTTGGCTGCCAACTGTAGATGAAGAAATTGAGCCACAGAGAGGTAAGGTGACTTGCCCAAGGTCATCCAGCTAAAAAGTGTCAGAGCTGGGATTTGAATCCAGGCCTGTTCTCTTCATAGGAAATCAGTCGGAGAGGGGGGGACTTTAAAAATCATTCTTGTGTTACAGATGAGGAAAGTGAAGCCCAGAGAGGGGCGGTGGTTTGTTTAATGACACACAGCACGTGAAGAGCAGAGCCATGTGCCACGTGCTCGAGACGCTGTGCGGAGGCTGCTGAGCTCAGACCTGCTCCCTGAAACGGAGCCTCGTGCCCTCCCCAGCCAGTCCAGGGGCCTGCGTCAGTGCCAAAGGCAAGCACGAGACGGAACGTTGCAGGCTTAAGGGAAAAGTTTTTGTTTAAAAGATGACAGGAAAACACTGGGGAGGCTGGTGCTGGGAATCTTAGGCAACAGCACGAAGGCCGGCTGGTAACATATGCGTTTCCATTTGAATCACAAATCACACGGGGTTATTCAAGTGATTTCTCGAGAACACAAAAAGACAATTCCCTGTGCAGTTTTGCTATTTTCTCAGAACCAGAACCTGCCTACTTCTTGTTCCTTTTTTTATAAATGATTTTAAACAGTGTGAAAATACACACCTGTATACACACACAAGGGGTTCAGAGCGCAGGTCAAGGTGGGGCAGCCTCCTTGCACAGAGGGTGGACATTAGTGGCTGCTTGGCACTAGAAAGAACCTAAGTTTGGATCAGAGAAATGGGGGTTCCAGCCTTGGCTTTGTCTCTTACTCGTGACTGGGCGAGTCCGTACGATGTCCTGAACCCTAGCCTCCCATCTGTAAGATGAGGATCAAGACACCTTCCTGGAATGTCTGCTACAAGGAGTTCAAAGGTCTGGCACTTTGCAGAAACTCAGTACATGTTACCTCTTACTATTAAGTTCCATATATGACCCAAATGCTTTTATTGGACATTACCCAATTAGAATTTGTGATACCCACTTCATGGGGTTGGTGGGAAGAAATAATACATACAAACCACAAGGCACGTGCCTGGCATATAGGAGGTGCTCCATAACTATGAGTTCCCTTACCTTAGTTTCCTTGGAAGGGGGAATAGAGGGTAGGGGGTTAACTGGACTGATCCATTTGGGAGCCCAAGATGGCTGCTGAAGCTCTAGCCATCACGTTTGAATTCCAGCCAGCAGAAACCTAGATCCACAGGGACAAACAAGCATTGCCTCCCTATACCTTTTTGATGTTGAGGGGCTGGTGTCAGGGCTGGTGGAGGCCAGGAAGGAAGGGAGGAGTTTGTGGCCACTGGCTACAGCTGATTCTAGAAGGAAATTTCACCATGCTAGGGTCCTAGAATGGTCCAGGACTCAGCCAACCCTAGTCCCTGAGCTGCCATTATGCAAAGACCCACGGGGAGGACTCGCTGGCAGAGTTCCAGGTTTACAGTCAGCCAGAGGCACGGGAGAGTGGGGTGAAAACAGCAGGTGGGAAGAGAACCTCTCTGAGCCGTGGAAAGCTCTGGCATGGCTGATGTTAGATGAAGATTTCAGCCCCTGACCATCTCCCTGGCGGTCTTGATTGAAATCTGCCACCTGCCTGGATACACGCCAATGTCCCTGTGCTGGGAAGCCTTCCGTGACCTCCCCACACTGAACGCTGAGTGACAGCGCTCAGCACACCCCACCGTCCTCGTCTGCTCTCTCAAGTGTGTTCTCTGATGCACTGTGAGCTGGGGGACCACTTCTATGTCACCTCTGCTGCCCACCGGTGCTCAGCGCTACCAGACGCACGCGGTATGAACAGGCCTCAGCACTTCCTGCTTCCTGCCTCGCAAGACACCTTGACCCGCCCAAATGGGGCGGCTGCCACCCCCTGAGGTCTGCCCAGCAATGCCTCCCAAGCCTATCGGGCCCCTTCGACTTCCTTTACCTCTCGGGCCTCAGTTTCCTCATCTGTAAAACGGGGCTGATAAAGACACCTGCACACACGGGCTGGTTGTGAGGATTCAACGAGATGACAACGTGACAAACCTATCGGCCCCGAGTTAGAGGCTGCTGACCTGGAGCCACAGGGACGTGTGGGCGCAGGCAGCAGAACGCGGCGCTGAGACCTGGGCTCTGAGGCGGGATCCCCAGTTTCACCCGGCTCTGCCACTCAATGCAGGGTCCCCTCCTGCAGCCTCAGTTTCCACATCTGTACAATGGGCTTATTATCCCTGCTCCCTGGACCGCTAGGAGCGTCAGAGGACCTAAGATCTGTACAGCTCGTGGAGCAGTGCCTGGCACACACTGACTATTGCTGCTGTTGTTATTATTATTATTATTGTCTATTCTGTGCCATGCCCTGTGCTAAGTTCTAGAAGCCAGCTGTCTTGCCCTGGGCTGGGTCTCTGCCCCCAGAAGCCTTGTGAGTGGGTACCCAGGGTGGCAGACTCTCCGCCCCCTGCAGCCCCGTCCCCACACAGGAGGGACTGAAAGGCAGGGGGGCGGCCCGGCCTCCGTCTGCTTCATTCACCCCGAGACGCCCCTGTCTGTCACAGGGCCGGCCCCTTGCTCACTCCCGGCTGAGGCCTATCCTGAGATCAGGGCCACCGCAGACCCTGGGGGGGCTGATGCTGGGATGATTCACGCAGGGCCCCGCCCGCTCGGAGCAGCAGGGAGAAAGCAGGTCCCGTGGGTCTCTGCCCTGAGCCAGCACAGGGCCGCGGTGCTCCCCCAGCAGCAATGGGAACTCGCGCCAGCAACCTCTGCTCCAGCAAGAATTCTCAGAGAAAACAGGAGGGCGGCACAAAAGCAACGCTAATTACCCCTAATCACCCAGAAGAGGAAAGCACTGCTTTCTGTGAGGTGCTCCTAATGTGATAAAGAGCTATTATTAGGCAAGAGCTGGGAAGCTGCCACGAAGGCAGTCTGAGGAGGGAGAGACGTCACCCAAGCTGCAGAAGACCTGAAGGGGGGGGCAGGAGCAGGAAAGGAGGGCCTAGACGCGCTGCCCTGGCAGCGCGGTGATTCCCCCCATTTCACAGATGATGAAACTGAGGCACAGAGAGGTTAAGTAACTAGCCCAGGGCCACACAGCCTGTATACCAGTGGCAGAGCCTGGATCTAAGCCAGGCCTCTCCGATGCCAAAGGCTGTGCTTTTCCCATCGTATCCAGTCAGGGGCTTCCTGGGGCAGAAACTGGTTCTTGCGAGGGCTTTGTGGCATTTAAACCGAACGATCATTTAGAAGGAAATTGTAGCTGTTCCTTGTCACATTTGATTCTTCTGGTTGAGGGAGACTTTTAGGGTGGAGGGGCACAAAGTCACTTCTCCCCTGCCCCCTCAGGTACAGAGACCCTCAAATAGGACAGAGACCCCTGGCCACGGGTCACGAGGCACTGTTGTGAGTCCTGTGGGTTCCTGGTGTTGTTACCCAGTGGCCCCCTCCCACGGGGCGGTGACAGCACAGGCTCTGGACCTGGTTTCCGAGTCCAGATCTGACTCTCTGGCTATGGAAGTCCATTCTCCAAAGTCTCCGTTTTCCAGTCTGTGATTCGGGGATGCCTAGTACCTACCATACGGGGTTGTTGTGAGGTTTCCATCCTAGGGAGCAAGTGATCAGGGATAAAGATGACCTAAAAATCCTCCCGTGGCTCCAGGGCTAGAAGCTCCTATCTGTCCTGGGAGGACGTCTCCAACCAGGAGCGACCAGTTTCATCTGTGGATGAGTCTAGAAACTCCTCTTATTCTTGGGCCAACGCCAGCCCCCTGAACTGCCAGTTAGGAAGGCAGGGGGCTGCTTCATGTTCCTCCGGCGGGTTCGGACTCTGTGCTAGGGTCCTGGGAGTTTCAGGGAGTGAAGATACCAGTGAGGACGAGCTGGCCCCAGCAACATGGCGGCAGGCGGAGGGAGAGGCCCAGGGGACCTCGGGGCAAGGACACGGCCGAGAGCTTCAGCAGCAGCAGTGCTGACAAGTGCTGGTGTTCCGTGTTAGTGCTTGAACTCCCCGATGCTCCCTTCAGCCCAAACTTGAGCCCAGCGTCAGCTGTGCCGGGGGCGGGGGTGGAGGGTCGGGTCGTTGGGGAGGCTGCTGGTGAAGCTGAGGGGAGGCGCCAGGGTCCTCCAGCGTGCCCCCCGCCGGGGATTCTCAGATGCCCAGGGAGGGGTCTGGGCCGTCTGCTTTCAGGCGGGCTGGTGCAGCCGGGTGAAACTGCCCTTCTGTGGGACCCGGGGAAACTGATGACGCTTGGGGAGCGCTCGGTGCTTGAGAAACGGCAGCCACAACGTCATAACTGGAAATCAAGGTTCTCGTTCTCACGGGCCCCTCGCATCACAAGGATTTTCCTTGGCTGAGGTCTGCTCGTGGATGTAGCTGCAGCTCACCGCCCTCACCTCTCGGTAGCAGCCCCTCTCCCACCGTTCCTCACGTCCGCCTGAGCAGGGGCCATGCCCGCTGGCTTCAGTCCTGGATGTGAGTCCTGCTCTGCCGTGTTCCCGCTGTGTGACCCTGGGCAAGTCCCTTAGCCTCTCTAGGCCTCAGTGTCCTCATCTATACAATGGGGACACTGCTGCCTGCAAAAGGCTCAGGGCAGAGCTGGGCATGGAGTGCGCGTCCACACGTGGAGCTATTAAATCTCTATGATGCGCACATGGCAGGTGGATGAGGTTCTTTCAGGCCCAAAATGAGGATCTGGAAACTCATGTTAGGTTTGTGTGGCCGCCCAGGCGGGCCTCTCCCACTCCACTCCCACCAAGAATTCTTTTTAACCTCCTGCACCTGTGGCCCAGCCTAGTCTTGGATGCAAGAAGCCCTGGGGAGAATGTCTACAATGCAGACTTGCAGGCTCCGCTCCTAGGACTGATTTAGAAGGTCTGGGCAGCAGGGCCCGGGGACCTGCGTCTAAAATAAGCTCTCCAGATGATTCTGAGGTGGGAGGCCTTGGAGCACACTTTCCCTGCTCTGTATCCCACAGTTTCACAGCCTGGCAATCAGGTGCCTCTGCTGTGGTCCAGCCGGAATCCCCCCACCTGCATTCTTGTGGCTCTGGTTACTTCTGGGGAAACAGACTGTCCTGACTCGGGATCTGGGCTGGGGGAGGGGTGGGGAGTAGTGGGAGGAGGGGTGGGGAGTAGTGGGAGGAGGAGAGGGGAGTAAGGGGAGGAGTGGAGGAAGGGCAGTAATGTAGGGGCAAGATGCTGGGCCCTGGAGGTTTCAATCCAGGCTATTAGTGCTAGTTGTGTGATAGGAACTTTCTGAGCCTCAGTTTCCCTAATCTGTGAAGTGGGGACAATAATCCTGCCCCAGATGCTGCATGAGGATGAGAGATAATGTGTGTATAGGGCCTGGTGACAAAGCCCAGCACAAAGATGGTGCCTGTAAATAGGAGTTACCTCTTCCCAAGCAAATTCTTATGATCCCCCTCCCGCGGGGCACAACGGGCCGGGGTCGCTGGGCTGGAGTGACGCGGCGTCCCCACTGCAAAGCCAGAGCCCCAGGAGGGACAGGGGATACTCACGACGGAGGACAGGTCCACGTTCTCCACCCTCCTGTCCTGCAGCAGCACGGGCTGCAGGCCGGCGACGCGGAGCTGCGCCGAGGACGTGCGGTACACGAAACTCAGCAGCCAGTCCCCCCTGCGGTGGGAGAAGGGGGCAGCCGTCAGCCTTGGGGGCCCGAGCACAGGGACGGCCCGCCCGGCCCTGGGGAAGCCTGGTGGGACGGGCGCTTCTGTGGGAATCCAGGGCCCCGACTGCACCCGTGGAGGGACACGGTGGCAGCAGCTGCTGACACTTTGGGAGCGCCACCCGGGGCCACGGGAGCTCCAGGAAGGCTGTGTGTCTTGCTCCCTGCTGGGACCCTGAGCTGAGGACAGTGCCTGGCAAGCCCCGGGTGAGTATGGGTTGAATGAATGAATGAGGACACGGGACGAAGTTCTCCACAAGTCGGCATGTTGCTCAGGAGAGCTGCTCTCAGCTCGGGGTGGGGGTGGGGTTCCCAGCTCCCTGGGGTGGCTGGCCCAGGGCTCCTGGGAAAAGAAAGAAAGGCAGCAGGGGGTCCTCCTGCGGGGGCGGACCGTGGGGAGCTGGCGGCCACCACGCTCTGGGGTCTAGGTCCCCCACCTGTCTGTGAGCTGGAGCGACCAGCTCTGCCTTCTGCGTCAGGCCCGGCCCAGCCTGCGGGTCTCCCTGCCCTCGCCATCTCGGAGGAGGCGAGCGTGGCCCCCCAGACAGGTCCCCGCCCTGGGACACTCCTCCACTTCCATGGGCTGGGAACCCCACTCCCTGCACCCCACCCCCAGCCAAACATACCCCTCCACTATCGAGAGAAAATCTCCTGGGCCCTCTTCAGGTGCAATGAGCGCCGTCCACGGAAGACACGGTCTGGGGGGCCCGGGAGAGAGCCTCCCTCTCGAACCCCTGAACTCTGTCCTGGGGTTAAGCGGGGCCTCGCCACTCGGCAAGTCCAGCACGTGAACGTTTCTGTTCTCCCCTCTGCATCCAGGACTTAAATCCAATTTAGCACATCTGGCCGTCTTTTATTTAGACCAATTCCAACTCCGGTTTGCGTGGCAACTTGAGTCCATTATTTTTGTGCGCTTGTTTGAAAGAAGGGCCCCCTCACTGCCACGTGGCGGGGGGTGCGGGCTGAGAGCCAGGAGTCCCCGCCTGCCCATGTGACCTGCTGTGTGACCACAGGCAAGTCCCCCGAGCCGTCTGGGACCTGGGGTGTGGGGGTGCTCTCCAGGATCCCTCTCTGGTTTCTGGCCACATGGGCACCTGTGTGCTTGCCACCCTGGAAGCCCCTAGAAGGATGGGGGCCCAGAGTTAGGGGCCCTCTACGGATCCTCTGCTGTGAACCAAACTGAGTTCATCAGCCCGTCCTTTTCCACTATCATCCGCCCAGTCCTCAAGCAGAAACCAGGACGTGGTGCCATGTCTTAGGCACCCCGCCCCCTGTGGCCAGCTTACCAAAGTCCTGCTGATTCTTATCACCCCCGCCCCCCACGCCTGTCCCTTCTGCTCCAGCCCTCAGTTCAGGTGACTCCCCCACCCCCCATACCTGTCCTGTCTGCTCCAGCCCTCAGATCAGGTATCCCCACCGCCCCCCACACCTGTCCTGTCTGCTACAGCCCTCAGATCAGGCGACCCCCTGCCCCCAACACCTGTCCCTTCTGGGGGCTCCAGCCCTCAGATCAGGTATGCCCCCCCGCCCCACATGGACGAACACAGTGGCCTCCTCCCCGCTCTCCCTGCTCCCGGCCTCGCCTCCCTCGAGCCACTGCGGCCTTCCTTAAGCACCCATCTGACCAAGGCTCTCCCCTCTTAGAAGCTGGCCATGACTCCCACAGCCTACAGGTTTTCTCTTTTAGAAAATTCCTAACTCTCTCCAGAGAGCAACACTTGCAAGTCCCAGTGATTATCTTAACATTGAGGGCCCAAGCAGCACTGTCTCTAGGAACGAGGGCTAAGGGGAGAAGAAGGGAGATTAACTCAGGATGTTGTACTGAACTAATCATTAGACTTGTGTGCATCAAATCCTGGGTGTGAGGGTGGTCGGTGAACATTTCTGGTGTAGATAATTACAAATGAGCAGTCAGCAGCGTCCCTTCCAAATGATTTCCGACACAATTATGACAACACTCTACTTAAAATGTTAATTGCACTTATTTACACACATTTAGGGAAAGAACAGGAGTGTATGTTTGAAGGTTCCATATCCCCTTAACTGTGCTGGGCCAACCACAGGGCCTTTGCTGGCATTCAAGACCCTTCTGTCTCTGGCATCTGCCTCTCTCGCCTGGGGTGGGCCCTGAGCCCACGCTCGGGACCACACAGAGCCAGGTTCAAGTCCCGCCTTGTCAATGACTAGCTGTGTGACCTTAGGCAAGTCGCCTGACCCCTCTGAGCCTCAGTCTCCTCACTGTCTTACCTCCCAGGATGGGTGGGGACATACACTGAGATGGGGCACACTACGCACCCGTGCTCACACACTGAGTGCTCAGGAAGCATCGGGCACAATTATACCCCCCGCCCAGGGCCCTCATGTGGTGTGGCCTCTCTTGCTTGGCCTGATCTTCCAGTCTCGGATGGGCTCTATCCATCCTTTCAAAATTCAGCTGGGACGTCACCTCCCCCAGGGATGGGGGGAGTGAGCCCCCCCATCCCACCGTGTGCCTGGTAAACGCTCCTTCTGTGACGTTCGTCACGTGTCCTCCGTGTGTCCGATCCTGGGTCTTTTTCCTTTTCTGGGCAGAGAGCTCCCTGAGGGCAGGACTGCGCCTCAGTCCTGTGTCCTGTATCCTGAGCCGACTCAGGAAGTCCCCGGGGGGGGGGGGGGGACCAGCAGGCCACGCCTCAGCGGCCCTCCGGGACAGGCTGATGCACAATTCCATCACTGAACCCTTCCTTCACTGCCACGGGGCCAGTCCAAGGCCGTGCCCTGGCTACTCACAGGCCTGAAGCCACTCAAGGGCTGGGGACCTCCCTGCTCCTCCTGTCATCATCCTGTCCCCGCACGGTACCTGGAGCAGAGACCACAAGGAGTCCCCCGGGGGCCTCAGAATAAAACCCTCTCACTGTGGAGTGACACAGGCCTGCCTGAGTTCACATCCTGGCTGTGCTGTGTGACCCTGGTGAGGCACTTGACCCTCTCTGAGCTTCAGTTTCTTTGCCATACCATATGGAGCAGTACAACTCGCCCTGGCTAGCTTCCAGGGGTTCGTGAAAGCCCAAGTAAGTGAACCGCTTTGCAAAGACCTTTACTAATGTACGTTATGAATTTATAAGTGTATATAGCTTGGTAGTGTTGGCCCGAAGCTCCCTGCCCCCTTGCTCCACCGCCCGTGTTTAAGTAGGTTTACAGCAACTAAAACGCCTTTGGGGGCCAAGAATATGAATTCCGTGGTTGGTGCTTAATTTAACCAAGAAACTACAGCTATTATTTTGGTCTGTACATTCCTTCCCTCTTCTCTCTTTCCTCTCTCCTCTCCTCTCATTCCTCCTCCTCTCTCCAGAGAGATGGCTCAGGATCGCACAAAATAATTGAAAACCAAGCTTATTAGCCCCAGGTTCTCCACAGAACAGATGGGTTTAATATGAGTTTGCTGCTTTCATATGGCACACATGCAATTTTAATTCTTTCCCTGCGCTGTTTATGAAAAGCACCAAAAAATCATGTGCTATGTGACTATGCCCAGTAATAATAATTATAACCGCTATCGTTCATCGGGCACCAGCTAAGTGCCAGCCTTTTCCTACACAATCGCATTTAACCTCCCCAGAACCCCTGCACAGGCGGGACTGTCACTCCCATTTTACAGGTGGAATACTGAGATTCCGAGCTGTTCATCCAAAGTCAACCAATAGGCAGGCAAATGGCGGAGCCAAGATTTTAACCGAGGACGGTCTGACATCAAAGTTTTGTCCACTCTTTTTTCTTTTCTTGTTTTTTAAACTATCCTTACTTTAAAAAATCAAATTAAAGTCTCTTTTATGCCCTACTTCCAATCCCTGCCCACTCCTTAGGGGTGCGCACTGTTATCAGTTTCTTAGGGTCCTTCTGGACCTTCCTGTGCATTTGCAGACATATAGATACATATACACACACGCAGAAACTTTTTCCCTCATAAGTGGGATCACAGTATGTATTATTACACTTACTATTTTCCCTCTTAACTATTCCCCTACTTATGGTCATTCAGGTTGTTTTAAATTTTTAATTATAAATTAAGCTGCCATGATCCCCTCTGTACATCCATCTCTGGGCATGTGTGTGTCTGGTACAGCAGGATCACAGAAGTCAGAATTTCTGGGATCAGAAAATGGGCACATTAAAAATTTTGATAGATATTGCCAATCGTCCTCCAAAAAGGATTTACTGAATTCACTGCCACCAACACTATGAATCACAGTGTTCATTTCTCCACATCTTCACTGACACTGTATGTTATTCATGTTTCAGATGTTTGATAATCTCATGGGTGATAAATAGAATCTTACTGATTTTAATCTGCATTTGTTTCATTAATGATGAGGTTGGGCATCTTTTCAAAAGTTTATTGACTATTTGTATTTATTCTGTGAGTTTATGTGTAGGTATCCTTTGGCCATTTTTTTTTTTTGTGAGGAAGATTAGCCCTGAGCTAACATCTATTGCCAATCGTCCTCTTTTTGCTGAGGAAGACTGGCCCTGGGCTAACACCCGTGCACATCTTCCTCTACTTTATATGGGACACCAGCACAGCACGGCTTGACAAGCGGTGCATTGGTCCGTGCCTGGGATCCGAACCTGCAAACCCTAGGCCACCGAAGAGGAGCATGCACACTTGACCGCTATGCCACTGGGCTGGCCCCTTCTTTGGCCATTTTTATATTAGATTTTTTGTTATTGATTTGCATGAGCTCTTTATATATTATGGCTCTTTGTCTTTTGTTTCTTTGTTCTTTCTACCCTATGCTGATTCTAAGAACTCAGTTTAGAGCATGAGTCATAGAGCCAAACTGATTGGGTGACCTCCTGAGTCCTGGTTAATGCCCTCTATCCATGGCTAAAAACTGTCTTTTTCTTTAGCTCTGAACCACAGCTATTGCTGTGGGCTATAGCATCAAAATGATAGAGACTTTCCAAATCTGTTCCACTCAGTTTTGGGTCCTACTTAGGATGGTGGGCTTAGATCAAAATTAAAGTTAACTGGCCTCCTGACTTAACCTCTCTGAGACTCAGTTTCCTCACTTGTAAAATGGGATTAAAAATACTAACACCATAGGGTTTTGGGGAGGAATAAAGGGGATAATGACAACAAAGAGATGGTCTGGCAGGTGGTTAGAGTCTAAGACTTGTTATATCCTCCCTCCCTCCATTGCTGTATCATTGCATTTTTAGGTTTTCCCCCCATAACTGTCTATTTCCACACGTGCCCTTCCCACCAGACGGGACCTCTCTCCTCGTGTCCTCTTGTATCCCCGTGCCCAGCACAGGGTCTCAGCACAGCATGTTGGATGATGCTGAGTTCCCCCCAACCTCAGGCTGCAGCCTCTTCTCCTCCCACCCTGAAATACTTCCCTTAGAATCGGGAATCCTGTGCTTTTCTCTTTCTCTACGCTTTGCCTTCAAATGATCTCACCCCTGCCCCTGGCTTCGGCTGAAGCTGACGGTCCCCTGGCCCTCGCTGCAGTTCTCATTTCTCCGAGTTCTAGGGCCGTTTTCCCAGCCGCCTGCTGGAAACCTCATGTCCATAACCCAGTGACTCAGCCACTGCCCCAAGTCCTAGCTCCTTTTTCTTCTTTAATTGTTATTTTTTAAGTTGTGTTAACAGAGCCCTACAACTAGTCACCCAACCTCACTGTTTCTTTATTATTATTTTTTTTGTGTGAGGAAGATCAGCCCTGAGCTAACATCCATGCTAATCCTCCTCTTTTTGCTGAGGAAGACCGGCTCTGAGCTAACATCTATTGCCAATCCTCCTCCTTTTTTTTCCCCCAAAGCCCCAGTAGATAGTTGTATGTCACAGTTGCACATGCTTCTACTTGCTGTATGTGGGACGTGGCCTCAGCATGGCCTGACAAGCAGTGCGTCGGTGTGTGCCCGGGGATCCGAACCCGGGCCGCCAGTAGCGGAGCGCGCGCACTTAACTGCTAAGCCACGGGGCCGGCCCCCAACCTCACTGTTTCTTAAACTCCAAACTTGTCCTTCAGATCTGGGCTTAGAATGTCACCTTCTCATCAGTACCCTGCACTTTTGTATCTGTGACTGCAAAATATGGGTCCCTTATTCCAAATCCTTGAGGGCCTGTTATGTTTCAGAATTCAGAGTAATGTTTGGATTTCAGGAAGATAATCTGGCTTGTAGCCTGTGTATCACATAACACCCCTGCGAGGTGGCGCCCCCAAGTCAGAGAGCCCCAAGCCCCGTGGAAGGAGTGAAGCCTAGACATCTCTCTCATCAGCCCAGGGCGAGCTTGTCACTCAGTGAGTTTGCCCCACACCTGGAGAACAGCCTTTGGCTTCAGAGCTTCCGGATTTTGGGGTTGCAGACAAGCGTCCGTGTGCCTGACGGGAGGTGCCTGTTTTCCCGACTATTGTCCCCACTGGACACCAGGTTCCACGGGCTGGGGCTTGTTCCCTACTGTAGCCCCCGCACGGTGCCCGGCACGAGGTTGGTGCTCACTCAGAGTTTGTTGAATGAATATCCCAAGTGATTGATGATGAAGATGATGATAAATAGTATCACCATCCGTCATTCACAGAGCACGTCGTACCATATGCAACTCTGTAACTATCATTGCAACCCCGGGGGAATTACGACTATTATCCCTCCTTTACTGATGGGGAAACTGAGGCCAGCATTAAGATGCAGGTCTGTGCGACTATAAATCGTGTGCTCTTAAACAATGTCACCCATCCTTGGCTTCATTTGCAGGCTGAAGGGGCCGTGCATCTTCTCAGGCTCATCTCCTGCGGTCTCAGTGGTGGGCTTCATCTTCTTTTCTTCCCCAAAGTCTGGGGCACGGCCTTGGCTGAAAGCCCTCAAGTCCTTCTCAAACCCCAGCTGGCGCTGCCTCCTTCCAGCCCTGCAGCCACCAGCCTTCGCAGGCGACCCCACCTCTTGCCAGAGGGCCTGTCGCCTGGTGTGGGGACTGGCTCCCCCACTGATGTCAGCTTCCTGCTCTATCACCCTGCCCCGCCCCACAACAGTGCTCTGAGAGCCCAGCCTAGTCACCCCCCACCCTCTTCCTGCACTGCCAACTAACAAATAGATGAGCTCCTTAGTTGGCACTTAAAAACATCCTTTTGGGGCCCAATCTTGTGCCACTCACCCACGTCCCCCTGCCCCCAGATCATGGTGACCTGGCCTCTCTTCTCATCCTGGAAGCTGCTCTGACGCCCGACACAGGAAGCCCTTTTCAAGACCATCATCCTATGGGGCTGAATGCTTCCCAGGTCAGAACACCTGGCCTGGGCCTTGCTCCTCACGGAGTCAGTGTCCCACTGGTCCCTGGGATCCTCCAGGACAGGGGCCAGGCCTCAGACATCTGCGTCCCTAGCACAGGGCCTGGGCACACTAGGTGCTCAGTAAGTATTGTTGCCTCCCCCTGGCACGAGGTCTGGACATACCTGCAGTAGCCGTTGATGATCCTCCCAGATACCACCTTCCGGAAAGGCTCCCAGTGCTTGGCTTCTCCCTCCACAGGCGCACCCAGCAGCACGACGTCCTCGATGATCCCTTGGCAATCTGGTGAGAGATGCCGGAAAAGGCTGTCAGTGTCCCTGGCCACAGTGGGTCCTGGGGGGGACTCGCCAACAGCGGTGGAGGAGATGGATGTCACACACCTGCACACACATGCTCATGCACACACATGCGAAAACATGGACTCATCTGCTCATGCACACATGTGCAAACATGCACTCATATGCTCATGCACACACGTGCAAACATGCACTCATATGCTCATGCACACACATGTGCAAACATGCACTCATATGCTCATGCATACATGCAAACACATGCACACAAACATGCAGACACATATGCTCATGTACACACACATACACACATAGTAACAGGGGCTTCCATTTACTGAGTTCCAGGCCGAGAGTCAGGCCCCTTGTGTGCCTGATCTATTCCTGCAAAGCACCATTATCTCCATTTTATTTTATTTTATTTATTTAGTTTTTTGTGTGAGATCAGCCCTGTACTAACATCTGCCAATCCTCCTCTTTTTTTTTTTTTTTTTTGCTCAGGAAGACTGGCCCTGGGCTAACATCCGTGCCCATCTTCCTCCACTTTATATGGGACGCCACCACAGCATGGCTTGCCAAGCAGTGTGTTGGTGCATGCCCAGGATCCGAACCGGCAAACCCCGGGCCGCCGCAGCAGAGCGTGTGCACTTAACCGCTGGCGCCACCGGGCCAGCCCCCTGTTATCCCCATTTTAGAGACAAGGAAAACCAAAGACATTTTCAAGATCACATGGCTAGTAAGTGACACAGCCCAGGCTGGGACCCAGGTCAATTTCCACCAACCATGAAGCTCACAACTGGCCGTGGACTTGATGGGACATCTTCCTTTAGAAGAGACTGACAGCCCCTGGATCAGCACACTTGCCAGGTGGGAGACACCACCGCCGTCCTCGGCAACAGTTCCCTGGGGCCTGTGTGGCATGGCGGGAAGGAGGGAGTGAAGAGGAGAAGGGCGAATGGGTCCCAGGACAGAGTACACACATCAGCTGCACTAATGGTTCAGAAGTAGTTTGGGCCAGGGCTATTCAAAGTGCGGTCCCCGAACCAGGGCTGGCCCATGGACTGTTGGTCCTGTAAGCACAGAAACAGAGAGGAAGCGTTTCTTTGATCTCGTCGCAGACTGGAAACCAACAGTTCACAGAAGGGCGTGCAGACCACACTTTGAGATGCTCTGCTCTAGACTAATGAGCGGGGCGTGTGCACCCCTCACTCTGTCGCTCTCTACCCCCTTACTCCACTGTATTTCTCCTGTCACGTATCACTTGTTATGTCTGTCTCCTCCTCTAACACGTAGGCTCAATGAGGGCGGGCTGCCTTATTCACGGCTGTATGGGCCTCGAACGGTGTCTGGCATATACTCGGTGCTCAATAAAGATTTGAATGAATGGATGAGTAAATAGACTGCCTTCCCTCAGGAAGGCCTTTACATGTGCTTTGTGATTGCAAAGCCCTGGGTTCAAAACCCTGCTTAGTGACTTCTGAGCTATGGGACTTGAGCCAAGTCACTTAACTTCTCCAAGCCTACAATCAGATGATACTGACCTTGAGGATCTTTATGAGGATTAAGTCACCGTGTGGGGAAAAACCCAGCATAGTGAACGCCCTGGAAGTTAGTGTGCCCCCTCCCTGCCCTGCGCCCCCGCCTTCCCACATGTAGCTCTTTCTTATGATTCTGAGTTCCTGCTTGTCTTGGGAAGCTGCATGCCTCGTGTCATTCCTAGGGAATGGGCCCAGGAAGGACAGCTCTGCCATTCTCTTGCTGAGTGACACAGGACAGGTGGCTTCCTCGCTCTGGGCTCTGGTTTCTAACCAGAGCACATCTAACTGCTTTCCATTTGGGCTTCCATGTCAGAGTTTGTCTGTATAAAGGGTTCCAGGCTAACGAGAGCTTGAGAACCCCTGTAGTAACAAGCCCCCTGAGCGCTCCTCTGGTTCTGATGTTAAAGATTCTGCGGCACAGAATTCTGATTTCACTCCTTCTGCTTCCAGGGAGATGATAATCTGGCAGAAAGATGTAAAGCTTCAGTAGACTGGTGGTTTGTGCTGATGGCAAGGATGACTCAGATACCCCTCGAGGTAAGGGTATTTCAGGCGCTTACGCTGCTGGCAAGGCTGTAGAGAAGGAGATTTTATTCTAACCCCTTCCCTTGACAGATGAGGAAACTGAGTCTAAGAGAGGATGGGGCGTGCCCAACATCACACAGGTGGTGAGAATAAAGCTGGGACCAGAACCCAGACTGCACGGAGAGGGGCCGGGTCCCTGGGGCCATGCTCTCTGCTGTGTGCAGTAACAGCATGAAGCAAAGTGATCGCATGTGGTTATCATTCTCCCTCAGTGCCAAACAGTTGTAGACCCCGGGGCCAACGACTGAGCTCGGCAGCTGTCTCTGGGGCCGTCACTCAGGGCGCCTGCTCCTCCCACAGAATCTCCCTGAAGAGCTGGGACCCTGCTGACGCCTGGAGGGCTGGGACCCCTTGTGGCTAGTAGCGGTAATGCAGCATCCCCGATCTGGTTGCCCCACCAACTGCTAGGATCCTGGAAGTGGCCATTGAATGGGAAAGCTGTCATGAATGGCAAAAAGGTGGTTGCCTGTGACCCTGAATGGAGACCAGTGGTTGAACCTCATGAAACAGTCCGGAGCACAGCCAAATCAAGTGTGGGGGGCGGGGGCGGCGAGCTGGAAACACGTTTACACATCTCTGAAGAAGCCTGGCTGGCAATGCCTTACTAGACCTCGTCCCCTTTTGTCCTCAGGTGGTTGCCACACTCAGACATGCTCCTCTTATGTTTTCAAGAGGATTTGCTCTGTGCCAGGCTGCAAACCTGGACACAAGCCACAGGGCCGGCTCTCGGTGATGCACAGCGGGTGTTAGCTGAGGGCAGTCGGTGAGAATCACTTTAGACCCGCCCAAGGTGGAATCCTGTGTGCAGGTCATCACCACCGGACTGTTGCCGGGATCAGGAGGGTGGACGAAGGGAAACTGGGTCAGGAAAAAGAAGGCCCTGCCGCTGTGGTAGATGCTGGAAAGGAAAACATCAAAATGCACTGTTGGGTCCAAAACCTTATCAGAAGATTTTGGCCTTCCAGGTAAAATACAGAATATCCTCACTCAGGTACCACTTTTAGCATCAAGTAGGCCCCCTTCCACAGGCACAGACGACCCTTCACATCATGAGGAGAATTCAGCGCAGAGTGCTCCCACTTTTCAAGACCAACAAAAGAAACCGAATTTAACATTTTACTAAGAACTCATTAGAGAAGACCTCACCACCTCTTCACTGCAGGGACAATAAATGTTTGCTGAAACACGTTTGGATTTATTTGTATGGCTACCAGCAACTTTTCTTCTTGTGAATCTTTAAGGTGTTGAGATAGTCTGATAGCTTTATAAATAGTCAGACTTCCAATGTAAAAGAGGGCAGGGATCCCACGTGCACTCAGTCACCTTCAAGTGCAGCAGTAGGACAGGTGCAGCTTTCAGGCTTGGGTTTCTCACTTTTTAAACAGTTCTCTGTATGTTCTTTTTTTTTTTTTTTTTGTGAGGAAGATTAGCCCTGAGCTGACATCCATGCTAATCCTCCTCTTTGCTGAGGAAGACTGGCTCTGAGCTAGCATCTATTGCCAATCCTCCTCCTTTTCTTGCCCCAAAGCCCCAGTAGATAGTTGTATGTCATAGTTGCACATCCTTCTAGTTGCTGTATGTGGGACGCAGCCTCAGCATGGCCGGACAAGCAGTGTGTCGGTGCGCGCCCGGGATCCGAACCCGGGCCGCCAGTAGCGGAGCGCACGCACTTAACCACTAAGCCACGGGGTCGGCCCCTCTCTGTATGTTCTTAATATCCTACTTGTACTGTTACAGCTGGAGGCCCTTCATCCTGTCATAACTTTGGCTTTAAGGAGGCTCCAAACCTCCAGGAGTTAAAAAAGATGAGCTTTATGGTGATGGCTTTTCCCCTCCACTTTTAGTTCGTTTTGTCACTCGTGTGCTGTGAAAAACGTCTCTTTCCCAACTTTCTTTGTTTCTATCTCTTATTTCTATTTTTAACACAGGAGCCAAAGGGCAAGTGTTACAATGCAAGTCACAGGCACGAGGCATCTTTTGGGGGTGATGGAAAGTTCTAACACTGGGTCGTGGTGATGGGTGTACAACACTGTACATTCACTACAAATTATTGAATCGCACACTTAAGATGGGGGGATTCTGTGGTATGTAAATTACACCTCAGGACAGTCAGATCATCTCACCCCTGTGCTCAAAACCCGCCCTCCCTGGAGTCAAAGTCATTGCCATGGCCCTCGAAGCCTCGTGTGACCTTCCCCATGCCTCTCCCTTGCTCACTCCGCTCCAGCCATGGTGGCCTTGCTGTTCCAGAACATTCCAGGCCCTTGCTGATCCCTCTTCCGAATGCTCTTCCCTCCGACTTCCACATGCCTCCCTCCCTCCTACCCCCCAAGGGTAGGCAAACGAAACCCCCACCCCGACGAGGCGCCCCATCTCCCTTCCCTGATTTCTTTCTCTCTATAGCACTTAGGGCCATCTGACTCACTGCCTCTCTAACTTTCATAAATCTCACTTATTGTGTTTCCTACTAGCATGTGAGCACCCCAAGGGCTGAGGCTGCTCTTTTTTGTGTTCACTAGTGAATCCCCAGTGCCTAGAACAGTGCCTGGCACAGACGCTGTGCTCAGTAAATATTTGTGGAGTGAATGAAAGCAAGCAATGAGACTCAGCAGTAGGAATCCTTCAGGTTGAGAACACATGCAAAGCAGTTCTCTTTTTCTTTTCTTCTTTTCTTCCTGGCACACCTTCATCCCAGCAGCTATAGTTGGGCATCTCTGAAGACTGGATAAAAGCAAATGAAGAAAGCACTTGCTGAAAGTAAATGGAAGAGTATTTAACCACTGTTCTCAGCTCTTCGACTGCTCGTTTCCAGAGCTCTGTTCTCTGGGTCTGATGCTACTGTGGACGACTGCAGTCTGCAGTGGGTGAG